TTGTTTTCACCATTGCCAATAGCTCTGGTTTGACATTTAAGTTGTAGCTATTTTATTTTTGTTATTTTTTTTATATTTCACTTCGGTAGAAGTGGATGGACGTACACACGCTTACCATACCCACTACACCCCTGGATGTGTGTAATGTCATACTTTGGAACAAGACAAGCAGGTGACAGACCCTCCACCAGAAAAGTTTCACAGTGCACCTTTAAGCAACATCAAGTGAAGCAATACAATAATATTACAACAGTATAATATCAACACTGTACATAACATCATATATTTCAGACACTTCATGTTGCAGTGAAGGGAAAGAAAACAATGATCAATGGGATGATTCTACCTTGAATATCTGAGCGTGTTATGTGTGTGTGTAATGTTATGGATGTGCATTAGTTTGCTTTGCAAGGCCATAATTTCCGACGGAGAACAGGGGCCTATAGAATTCTATGAGAGATTTACCGTTTTTGAAAGAAATCTCCAAACTCATGATCCACAAATGTTGAACCTTATCATTATTTATTCGTGACTGGCTCCACAAAACTGCCTTATTCTTTTCAGCTGACAACCATCACGTCTTTGGAGCTGAATAATGGCGCCACTTTCTAAAGCTATTGTGTTTTCACTGTATTGTCACCCGCCCAGACTTATTTTCATTCTTTTTTGGCAACCATTCTAAACACAGGAAAATAGTTTAGAAATTTTGGTGTTTCATCTTCGTGCTCTTCATCAACACTGTTAAGATGTGGATGAATCAGCCACAACATGTAAAAATTCCTTGTTGAGTTTGTTTTATTTACACTAACAATGAGTACTCTCCAAGCGCATTGTAATCTCTTCTGTAGTAATAGTCTTACAAGGACCCACTGGGCTGGAGATTTTTTTTTCCCGTCAGAGTGTGAATGCAGCATACAAATGAGTAGAGGTGTTTAATGGTGGTTTGACTGGTGTGAGAATCGCTCGAGGCTCTGAATGATCTGGCTCTCCTCCTCTCCGGCTCTCGGTTTGCACCAATGAGAAAGAGGCTGTTTCATCATCATCCATCGTCGGGCGTTTGAAGTTAAAATCCTGCTACGTTTTCTTTTTTTTTTTTAAGACTTCACCTACATGCTCTTTCTCACCTCTTTGGCTCATTCTCTCAGTCTTAAGCTGCCAGGCTCGAGGTCTTTGAAAAGGTTGACTCCCGTGGCTGGGCTGCTGCTACTCTGTCAGAATGCAGGGGATAAATATTTCATCTGGGAGAAGAAATAAAAAGGGGCTGAATGGGAGAAGAAAGATGTAGTTTAACAGGGCCAGACAGAGGTGATGGGAATGTCTTCAAGAAATAGGGAAGTGGGAATTGCAAAAATGTGAACATGTGAAAATACGGGGACAAAATGATGAAAAAAGAGAGGAAACGAAAGATACCACCATAAAAAATTTAAAGCTTTCCATGTAATGAATTGTTAATAAGACAACCTGGAATAATAAGACAAGGTGGCTATAATCTTTACATATTTACATGTAAATGTGCATAATATGTGCTGGCCCTCTACAAAAAATAAAATAACTAAACAATATACAGCTACCATTTGTAATAAGATTGGATTACTGCGTTATTGCTGTCTGACTGCTTTGGGGAGGCGAGGAGGGAACCAGTTTCATATCTACTAATAGAAGTAAAATAAACTCACAGATGGAAACTTTTACTAAAGGTACAAAATAAAAAAAAATCCAATTCAATTATTATAGTTTTTACATTTTATTTTCAAAAGAACTATTTAAAAAAACATTATATAACAGTTTACAGTGTAAAGGAAATATTTCTTTAGACTGAACACATTCAACTGAGTCACAAAGTATAGAAACAGTACAGCTCCAATACATACAGAACACTTCAGCTCGGGTCCTGACTCGAACTAAGAGCACATAAGCCCTGTGCTCAGGTCTCTGCACTGGCTCCTGTGGCTCAGAGAATAAACTTTAAAGCGGCTCTGCTTTTGTACAAGCCTTTCCATGTCCTAACACCAAAGTACAGCTGTGACATAAAAAAAAAACAAATCTTTGACATGTTAGTGCCATGTGAACCATGTCGCACTCTGAGGACCACAGGGACCGGCCTCCTGCTGGTGCCCAGAGTCAGGACTAAACACGGGGAATCAGCGTTTCAGATTCATGCAGCTAAAATCTGAAACACTTCCTGAACATGTGAGACAGACTCTACTTTAACACTATTTAAATCCAGGCTCAAAATGGTTCTGTTCAGCTGCATATGACTGAAAGGTTTTCATTCTGCTCTCTTCTCTCTAATTGAATGTCTCTCTCTCTGTCTAATTTTATGATGATTATTTATGTTTTGATTTGTTTTTATTGTGATTTTAATGTATTTCTTATTCTGTAAAGCACTTAGACTTACTGTGTACGAATTGTGCAATACAAATAAACTTGCCTTGCCTACATGGTACAGTGTTTTAATCATGTATTATGCCACATGACCAGTAAAAACATATTTATATAAACAAAATTATATAAACTAAAACAGGTTACAGTTTGGAGAGGCCAAAACCTTAAACACTGGACCTTCAGCACCAACTAAAAACAAAAATAGTAAATCAGTGTAGTCACAGAACTGGGAACAACTATCAAGTAAAAAAAAAAAAAGTATTGTTGCCTCCAAACTGAGCCATCCATTGCTTAACCACATACACATACACATCTACCAACTACACCACGAGATGAGGTAGAAACAAAGAAAAAACAAACAGTTCCAGACAAAAGTTTGGACACGTTCTGGTCCCATAGTAGTCGATCAGTCAGCAAGTCAAACCATTATTTCTTTTGTACATTCAGATTTTCTTAACAGAAATAAAAAGTTAGACTATACCAAAATAGACTTCTAGAGAATATTTACAAAACAAAGTGTATTTATCATGAAAATCACAAATAGTTTTATCTTTAGCTCTTTGCAATGCATGCTATAGGTCTTTTTTTTTAGGATCTAGATGGTATAAAATTAATTAAAATGGTAAAAAGTCAAGACAATAATTCTAAATAGCTGCACTCAAGTGTTAATTTAACAGCTTTAGTCTTACTTACACCTTTGTTTTCTGCTCTGGGAGATTACAACTACACACTGAACCTGAAAATGTGAACAAACTGTAACTTGGACCTTTGATTTTTACCCCCTCTAGACTTTCTCTGCAACGGTTCCTTCCCTGTGCAGTAAATACATTTGAATAAAGGTCCATGCTGTGTCAGATTTGCATATAAAAAGGTGTGAGGACTGAGCTGTGGGGGTTCCAGGTGTACGTCATACAAATGGCAAATCACAAGATAAGGCCCTACAAGTTTTGTATTTGGAGTACGAACTAGAAGGCTGCAACAAGCTTTATCTATTTGTTGATTAGCTGACTAGTTAAATGATTATTTTATTTTTTCCCTACGTTTTTAAAACATTGTCAACAAAACAAAGGCTTCTAAATATAAAACTACGTATAAAGTGTTATCAATGAATCATTAATTGTTCATTATTTTTTGACATTTTGTTTCAATAATATCTGTATAGTCTAGTTAACGAGTCCAATTATCAAAATATGACCATGATTATTTTTATAGTCACTTAGTCACAATTCATTCAAACCTACTAAACTAAACTTACTTTGGTCTTGATACTGTACTTGTAGAGGTTCGGATCCATGTTAGAATGTTGTTTCCTTGTGAGAAACAGTATTGGGAGTAACGCATTATAAAAGTAATGAATTACTGTACTGCATTGCTTTTTGCTAAAACGCAGAAATACAAGGCATTACAGGGGAAAAAAAGGTAATATTTTACTTGGTAAAAACGTGTTACAATGCTTTTTAACCTGGTTTATAGTGGTGGGTTTTTTTGTTTTTCTTCATACATATTCAGAAAAATTACTGTGATATCAGCAGTGGTGAAACGCTGGGACGGGCCCGGAGGTCTGCTTGTTTAGTCCTGATTTAGACCTGGTTTAGACCTGGTTTAGTTCTAGTTCTCCTCTGGTTTAGTCCTGATTTAGACCTGATTTAGACCTGATTTTGTCCTGGTTTAGTTCTGGATTAGACCTGGTTCAGCTCTGGTTTAATCCTAGTTTAGTCCTGGTTCAGTCCTCCTGGTTCAGTCCTCCTGGTTCAGTCCTCGGTTCAGTCTCGGTTCAGTCCTCGGTTCAGTCCTGGTTTAGACCTGGTTCAGTTCTGGTTCAGTTCTGGTTTAGTCCTGGTTTAGACCCGGTTTAGTCCTGGTTTAGACCCGGTTTAGTCCTGGTTTAGTCCTGGTTCAGTTCTGGTTTAGACCTGGTTCAGTCCCAATGCAACTCTGGTTTAGTCCTAGTTTAGACCTGGTTCAGTCCTGGTTCAGCTCGGGTTTAGTCCTAGTTTAGTCGTTGGTTCATTTCTGGTTTAGTCCTGGTTTAGCCCTAGTTCAGTCCTTAGTTCAGTCAGGGTAGTAATCGTGTAATGTCTTACATTTTAAATACAGTAATGCTGTATTGTTTAGAAATGACGGTAACAAGTCATAAATAACACATTACAGTTTTGAAGTAACTTGCCCAACAGGGGTGAGAAACATACCCAGAGATGTGTTTTGTTTCATTCGCACATGTTTAACAAACTAATCCTGCATAGTTAGGCTGGGTTCCTCTCTCAAACACAATACATGCTGTTCCACTTTGTGATGTCATATGGCACTACAGGAAGTGCTCCAATGTGTTTTAAACTCTATACATCTTCACTAGAATCATCAGGAGAATTTCAGCCCTGGATTTGTCCATCTCTACTAAACCAAAAGGGAAAATGTAGCTGTTCACTTGAAAACTACCACTACATGAAATCAGAAGGTGGAACAGCATTTTGAACTTTGTTAACGTAAAGAGATTAGTAATAAAGGGTGACTCACAAATATGAGAATGGAAATAAATACAACTCCGGGTATGTTTTTTTTTAGGTAGTATCATTCTAGCATGGCTTAAAACTCAGTCAATTTACATAAGAAGACCTCTAAGGCGATGGGGGGCATGTGAGGCGCTCCACAGCACTGGCGATACGAGACAGGCTGTTGGCGATGTGTCCTATGGGCCTCAGCAGCACCTCCATCTGGCTCATGCGGCTCTCCAGACTCGTAATGCTGTCTCTTAAGCCCGACAGCTCGCTCTGCAGCATGTCAAAGCCCGCCTGCTGCAGCTCCAAGAAGGGGTGCCTGTCCGTCGCTATGCTCCTGGGCTTGGGCAACGAAGGGGCCGCGCGGGGGGACGGTGGGACTGGGAGGGTTACCACTTCAGGTATGACTGGCTTCACCGCTGCTCGCTTCTTCGGGCTCGGTTCATAGTCTGGGTCCTCTTCTATAGGAGCTGCACAGTGTTACAGTGTGTTAGTATTGGGATTGGTTGAACGGTAATTACAGTTCAGTAAAGAATGTATAAACTAGAACTGAAATGACTAACGCAGTATATACAGTAAATACGCTAAAAAGATGTGGCAATTAAAATCAGTTGCAGTTTTAAAGTGAACTGTTTAAAGTCACCACAGACTGAAGTGAGAAGGCCCTGCTATAGTGAGATATGGGGCACAACAGCACTTCCCAGCAAGGGCGTAGGTTTGCATAGGGGCCAATATTTGGGGAAGACAAAATAGTCCCTACAAATATTTGCCATTTTATTTTAACTAACTAACTCAATAGTGTTAATTTAACACATTTTATTTTACATTTTGTTTATTGGACGTTCTGAGATGTATTCGGTGATATGACGACAGGGTACCCCACAGAAGATGTCATTAGTGGAGCCAGGAGCCTAAACTGGGGAAGCAGCAGGACAGGGCCAGCACCCAAAGATGGAAGCTTGAGCAGGCCTGAGTGAAGACGCTGTACACCAAACTTTGAAAAACTTTTCAAAAGTAACTTACTTGGCTTCATCTTCAATTAAACTCGTTCTTATAATGAGTCGCCGCAGAAAAAGAGTGACTATCACCACAAGTGCACCCCCCAAACGGAGCCCTACTCGTGCGCTGCTAGCAGCCGGAATCTATTGACAATATTCCATGGAAAAATGTCTCAACATTACAAATATCTCATCACCAACAAGCAAAGGGAAATCTGCTTCAAACTTGTACATTGCTGTTATCTGGTAAAAAGTGTTCTTAGAAAGACAATGGACACAAACTGCAAAACACAAACTACATTTTGTGAAGTGAAAAATGAAACCACCCCTCACTTGTTTTGGATCTGCCCCGACTCTTTGTTTGTGGAAAGAATTCATAAAACATATGGGGTGAGGGGGTTCACCTTCCATCATCCACCTTATCAAATTGCATGTTTTAGTTGATAAGTGACCATAAGTGACAAAACTTGGGTTACTGTGTGCCTAAATATTACTGGACCTTAACTGAGTTGAAATCTAAATGACATTACCATGAACCTCGAACTCCAAATCCTGTGGCTCCACATTCTTTTTAGATTCTGGTACTGGGCAGACGGTCTTGGTGACTTTTTCTCGCTTCTTTGGTGGCCTTCCTCTCTTTCGTAGAACCACGCGCATCTCTCTCTTGGGTGGAGACACAGCCCTCTCTGTCTGGCGAGGCACCACCGGGGTAACTGGCTGTCCTCGTCTTTTTATGTCATTATATCGCTTTCTGCATTGGTCAGGATTTCTTTGGATGCCACACAGAGACGAAACTATCTCCGCAATCTCCTCCCATGCCCGCCTCACCTGTACAAGGCAAAGCATCTGGATTTAAACACGGCCAAAACAACACAGGTCAACAATATTTAAAGTGAAATTACACAAATAGCTTATCCCTGGGTTTCAGAAAGATTAAAAACTAGGACTGTTCCCATATCAGTTCACATTATAAAACGTAAAACATGTTTTTAAGGTGAAAAGTCCTCAAATTATTGTCTGTAACTAAAACCTTTATTTATTTTCACTCCGTCTTAAAGTAAGAACCACGGTAAAATCACGTGTTAACCTGCTGTTGCGTCTACTGTCTCCAAAATGGCCAAAGTGCCCCATAGTTAAGTTGAGAAGAATTTGGCTGCATTAAACTGCCTGAATTGTTCTCAGAGTTGTACACACCTGGTGCGGCTGCGGGGGGGTGTTGTCGTTGCCGTAAATGATACTTTTGCGCTTCTTAACTTCATTCGCAAGTAGCGAAACTTCTGCATCCGTGAAGCGCAAACCCCGACGACTTCGCGGGAAATCCTCCAGGTTAAGCGTAACCCGGCGCCCCATGTGCTCCTCGGGTGAATGTGGCGAGAGCAGCGCGCTGGACTGGGGTGCTCACGGGGGAAGGGTGCCAAATGCTTTTCTTTTCTATGTCGCATGCCTCCAAGCCCCGCCCGCGCCAAGAGACACCAGTGAGAAAAGTTTTACGAGTTTTCCCTGTTGGGACAATAATTCACCCACTTTGGTTTCCCTGGTGAATTTGTGTCCTAACCATTTTACTGAGCGGGTTTGGCACTGAGTTTCAATGATTTGTAAAATATTGTTTGTTCATGCGTCAAAGCGCACGCGGGGACTGACGATCACTCCGAAAGAGAGACAACAAAGTACAAGTAAAAAGTATTAGCAAAAAGGTAAACGGGCTTGGAAACAGAATTTAACTTGTTTGGGCGGTAAAAATGAGTTAAATGGGTGAAATAAAACAGAGGTTATGTCCAGGGCAAAAAAATATGGCTCTTAACAAACCACTATCTTATAACTTAGAAGATTTTATTGTATGCTTTTTAATATATTTATTGAATCTTTTGTAGAATACTCTCCCGAAACCACATTATTCTCTGCCCAAACAGATTTTCTTAATGTGACTTTTTGTGTAGGTATATATGGTGCTTACTGACTTGGCCTAATGTTATGTTTTATAAATGTTTAAACGTTCGCACTATATCTTTGAAATGAAATAGGCTAGGCTGAATCGGCCTTATATCATCAAGTTATCCATTTAAAAGTTTAAAAGGCCAAACTAAATGCCCCATTGCATCGCTGAACAAAAGGAATTCTTGCTCAGAAACTTCGCCCCTCCTCCTCCAAGTTCCGCCTTCTTTCTTTCAGCCATTTTGAGGGTCCTCTGAAGCCAGCACGACCAACACATCCCAGAGGTGAGTGCGTGGATCAGAGCCTACATGCAACAACAACTTCAGGTAAGTTACTCCATCACCTTCAATGTGCTTATTAAGTTTAGGTTAAAATTTCTTGGATGAAGAAACGAATAAAAAAAGAGTACCTGTATGCAGTAGCCTCATTTTCTAATCTCTCTGCAGATTTAAATGGAGTACATCCTTGGTATGAACATTACTGCTGTGAAGAGGAGGAAGGAGAGAGTCCACAAGAACAGAACTACATACCTCGCTCTCACAGAGGATGAGTGCCTTCACAGTCTGCATCTTTCCCGTGAGGTGGTCACTGAGGTGTGTCACCTGCTGGCAGACGACCTGTCCTCCAAGAGTCCATCCTGCCCCTATAGCATCCCTGTCGCAGTACGGGTCAAAGCTGCTCTGCATTTCTTTGCCACTGCCTCTGTCCAGAATCCTCTGAGTTCTACAGGAGGCATTTCCCAACCAGCTGTGAGCGGCGCCATCCATGGAGTCTCCAAGGCCCTGGTGCGACATGCTGCCGACTTCATTGTTTTCCCCAACACACATGAGAGTCAAGCCAATGTGAAGAAGGAGTTCAAAGAGAAGTTTGGAGTGCCCGATGTGCTCGGTGTAGTCGACTGTACACATGTGGTTCTCCGTGCTCCGATTGACAATGCTGCAGAGTACATTAATAATGAAAGAACCCACTCAATCAATGTTCAAATCATTTGTGATGCATCCTGTAAAATAACACAAGTGTATGCTAATTTCCCTGCTACAACTCCAGATGCCACCATCTTGGAAAAATCTGAGATTCCCTCCATGTTTGAGAAGGAGCCGGCCCCAGAGGGATGGCTGCTCGGGGACACTGCTTATCCACTCAAAACATGGCTCATACCTCCGTTTGGCAGGCCCAAGACTAAACCAGAGCTCTTATTTAACATTTGGCATTTAGAAGCATTCAGTGCAATGGACAAAACAGTCGGAATGCTAAAAAAGCGATTCAGATGCTTGGACAAGCCATCTGGCATACAGTACAGCCCGCAGAAAGTTGGAATGTTCTTCGTGGCAAGTTGTGTATTGCATAACATGGCTCTACGTCATGGATGCCTCGAGGATGTGGATGAGGATACGATCAAGAGCGTGAGAAGACTGGATAATGCCATGCACCTGCCTCTGTCTGATCTAAAAACAGACTCAGCAGCAGAGCTGAGGAGAGCTCAGCTGGCACAGGAGATGTGTGATCACAAACTGTAATACAAGCAACACTCATTACAGTGCGATTGCTGCTACTTAAGTTCTGTGTGCATAATCAAGATGTATGCATGCCTGTGTTCAAGGAATCTCACCACTTTTGACTATTTTCATTTGTTAAAATTTACTCGTGTTGACAGATGGATATATACTCTACATTGTCTTGTTTGTAATGTGAATTTGCCCTGGCCTGTTAAACATTCTTTAAATGTTCCATATTATGCAAAATTTACTTTGAGTTTTAAAACATGCTAAAATGTTGTTACTTCAACAAAAACGTATCTGGAGTTGTGTTTAGTTTCAGTCACACTAGTTTACACTAGTTTTCAAATTTACAGCTATCTTTTATCTTTTGTTTAGTAGAGATAAATTCCAGGGCTGAAATTACCTAACTGATTCTAGTGAAGGGGAATAAAGTTTAAAAACATAGTGAACTTCCTTTATAACCACATGACATCACTAGGTGTCATGTCAAGCCTAAATATGCAGGGTTTATGTGTTAAACATGTATGAATGAAACAAAATACAACTCCAGGTCTGTTTGTCATAGATTATTAAATTATAACATAGATCAGAAAATAGCCTAATATAGGACCTTTAAAATGTGACCTAGTTTGGCTTCTCTAATCACTGTTGCCAGTGTAATTTTCTAACTTTTCTTAATCTTATACATTACTTCTCATTTCTTGCACCAAGAAACCTGATACATGCTTATGTTTTAGTTTTATTCTCAAGAAAATTAAGATTAGGTACACTTTATTGTTTTCTGCATTTACCCATCCCACCCATCGGTTTGGCCAGGCCAAAATAAAGCCATCTCCGTCTGAATGTTTATGTGCATTTTTCAAGCCCAAAAAGTCCATATTACTGCATTTGTTTGGTAGAAACACATTGCCCTATTGAGTGGAGAGGCTTTCCACAGCTGTAGATATTCGTGCCAGGCTGGCTGCGATGTGTCCAATGGGTTGCAGCAAGACTTGTATGTGGTTCACACGAGTGTTGAGGCTGGAAATGGCCTGCCTCACTCCCAATAGTTCTCTCTCTAACATCTCAAAGCCATTCTGTTGTGCAACAAAGAAAGGGAGCTGCTCTGGCTGCAGACTGTTCACAGAGGAGGTACAGCGGGTCACAGCTGCTGTCTGCTCTGCTCCCTGCTGCTCCTCACTGTGGTCCTCTCCAAGCTCCACTCCATCTCTCTCTGACTCCTGCTCCTCTTCAGAAGAATGTTCCTCTTTCACTGCAACAACATTACATTCATGTCTGCTTCTGTGGTATACTACTGCCAAATAAGTCTAAACAGTTGGCTAAATAATTACCTTGAAGCCCAATCTCAAATCCAGCAAACTCCAGGGACGTATCCCCAACCATCACCATGGAATCAAGTGTTTTGACTGCCTTCTCCTTTCTGCTTTTAAGGGCAGCCTTTACATTCTGTCCTTTTTGAACCTCGTGGTATTGCTTTCTGTATTTGGTTCCTGGCCTTGTATTAACTTCAGTGGTAACATTAGCAATCTTATGTCTTGTTTTCCTCACCTGTAAGAATGACAAAAAGTGTAATCAAACATAGAATAACAAGATTTAAACATGTAAAAAGTGACTGAATGGGGAAATGGTTCAAAGTCAGGTAAACATTTTAAAACAGTTTGCACAAATGAGAATTTACATTTTGAGTCACGTTTTATATCGTGACTCCAAAAATTTCAGCGGGAGAATGAAGAGGTAGTGGTTACTGTTGTACACACCTTCATGACGAGCCCAGAGACGTCCTAGCCCGGCTCTGGAACAAACAGCAGTAGTATCAGTTTAGAGCACAATTATCAGACGAAACAGCTGACAGAGCAGAGGAGGAAAGACTGATGTGAGTGTTTTGATGTGCGCCATGGATGGGTAGGCTAGCGCAGCATAATAGCCACGCAGGCTAATTACGCACAGAACAGGAGTACACAAACTCACCAGCTTTATGGAATAAGAAGAGTCATTTGAGGAGCAATTTGCAACAAGAGAAATGTAGCCACGTAAGGACACACTCCCGAGGGATCAGTACAAAGTTGTGCACTGTCCGACTGTAGCCTTGTAGCCCTTTCAAACTACAACATTAGCGCCAAGTAGTGCCTTTACCTTAACGATTTCCGAACCTCACAAACTTTTGGCGACTTCTTGCGCAACCTAGGAAAATATTAAAAGATTAGTTAATATGCATGTAAACAGAAAGGCGACAGGAGAAAAAAAGAAAAAAAGTACTGCTGGGCATATATGGAAACAGGAAGTAGCCTATCCACCTGCGACCCTCGCGCTCTCCTCCCGCCTGCGCTGCTCTCTGGGAAGAACCTACCAAAATGACAGTATTGTAGTGAAAAATACTTAATCATATTGTTTATTCAGTCATATATTTCCAAGTGAAAATTACTGCTATAAGGTTATAGAGTTGTCATGACGCCTGATTGACGTTCTTGTTAGGGTTAGGGTTAGATAAATAAATAAATAAATATTTTGTGATGTATGTTATAATTTTGTTTCCTTATCACAAACATGCCCAGAGTTTTTTTTGTTTTTTCTTCATTCACATATGTTTAACGCAAATCCTGCATATTTCAACTGAGTTCTTCTCTCAAACAGAAACACTCCCTGTGTTCGATTATCCTTCCGAATCGGTTTTCCGAGGAAGTTGCCTAGCGACACGTGTGACACGCCCCTTTTCCTGGGACGGCGCGACTCGGACCTCGGTGGCGGAAAAAGACCGAGCAAATATTCCGAATAAGAATCCAAGATGGCTACTGTGACGTGTAAATATGAACTCATTGTGTTTGGACACTTTGGTGGTTTAAATGACAATTTCAGTCACTTACTGCAATAATTGTCGCGTCCGTATCACTGCCTGTGGGTTTGGTAGTCAGTGTTGTGGCGAGGAAAATATTGAACAATTCTTGATTTTTGATTTAAGGAGGGGTTAACGTCCCTAAGGTTGTAAAGGACATAAAATGAAGTGCAAATTTCAAAAACTAAATTAATTACAGTGGCAGCGTTTTCAAAAGATGGAGGAATAGTCATAATCCACGTAGTCCAACATGCAAAACATAACAATATGCTTCAAGCTCGGACGTGATGTCAAATCCGAGGCCCAAGTGGGAGTTGTAAGATAATCGAACATAGGATGATTTCGTCCATGTGATGTCATGTGATAAATCACCTCCACGAGAATCATTTGGATCATTTCAGCCCTGCAATTTCCAATCTTGTCTAAACAAAAGGTAAAAGGTAGCTGTTAACTTGGAAACTACCACTTCATGACATCACAAGGTGGAATGTGGCATTTTGAGCTTTAGAAATGTAGACAGACTCATAATAAAGGATTGCTCAAAGATGTGTGAATGATACAAAACACATTTCAGGGTATGTTTTGATGAGGCAACAGCATTATAACATGGCTTAGAACTCCCAAGTGTCCATTTTGAGTAATATAGGACCTTTAAAGAAAACAGGTTTAAGTCTATAGTGAGTTCTACATCAGATCAGACTGCTAGGATTATATAGTATGAAGCAAAATGTGGATCTAAAGGTAAACAACTGAAGTGAAACTGTATTCATTTTCTGCATCATCATGGCGCCATAATTAACTTTGAGCAGATGGGAGGGGGGAACTCTTTGGGGACGCAGTGCAGTGAAAATATTCCGAGGACCGAAAAGGACTGAAGATTTTTCAACATATTTTAAACCGTGTCTACCCCAAAACACTATTTAAGACAAACCTGGCAACGGCGTTTGGTAGGCTTCTGATAAAGCCTTCTACGCTGTGAACACTGTCTCAAAAATAAGTGTAGAATAATAATGTGTAAACTAATACTTTTCACACTTTCTCTGAGTCAGCAATCTCGCACTACAGTCATATTCACACTCCCCCTCTCAGTATTCAGGCAGGCTGCACACTTGGTCTTCTTTGTTCCAGAAGCAACAATAGCAAAATAAACTGTAGACTGTCTAAGGAAAAGAAACCAGACATTTGTAGGAAGGATGCCGTACACGACTGAGCAACTTTCACTGTACTCTACTGATGGGTTACTTTTACTTTATTGCATTAGTTTGAGTATTTTTTTTTTAATGCTTGGTCACTAAAGCTGGAAAGAATTTAAATTTTAAGTATAGTGAGTGGTTGAATGTAAAGAAATGAAAGTGTTTTACTTAAGTATACATTTCAGATATGTGTACTTGTGTTGATAGTTTTTTACTTTTACTACTCTTTTACTTCACTTGGTAGCAGGTATTTGTGCTTTCTACTCCACTGGACTGGACTGGACAGGACTGAAAAGTAAAAGTATTTTTTATTATTGTTTGAGACCTAATGAATCTTTCTGAAACCTTTTAAGACCTCAAAATATGCGCAGAATACTTTTACTTTTACCCTTTAAGTACATTGTTAAACCTGTTTTTTACTTTTTTTTTGCTTTGGTATCTATACTTTTACTTAAGTAACAAAATTGACTACTTCTTCCACTACTGATTATAGTGCAGACATATTGAGTATTTTTTATTTATTTAATGCTTTTATTACTTCAAAATCATTTCATAAAGTAACAATACTGCAACTTTTTAAGACACACTCATCTACCATTGAAGGCTGGTCTGTTTAAAGGAGATACATTATGCTTTTTCTAGTACTTAGTAATAAACATGAATCATTATTTCAGATTTTGTCCATTGTAAACCACCAAAATAGTCTAAAACAGCTTTTTGCAAGATAATATTGGAAAGTGGAAGGGTATGGGGGTAGGTGAAACCAGACGTTATCTAATCACTCAAGAAAACTTTGACAGTGTAGATTCTCATAGAATTTCAATGTGCTTTGTTTTCCAGCTGCTACACTGGTGATTAAAGCTGTCTGTCTCTTCTTTTTCTTCCTTCAAGCTCCAGTCTCACCTTCTCAGTATGGGGCCACGACATCTTTTTGTGAGTAGGTGTGATTAAATTTTTACATATGAAATGGCAATCCTAAACTCAGCTGTAGCCTAGAGCATGAATAAAGGGTGGGGTAGGTGCTTAAAGGTCCTATATTATGCAAAATTGACTCTTGTGAGCTTTAAGGCATGTTAGAATGTTGTTACCTGATCAAAAACATACCTGGATTTGTGTTTTGTTTCATTCACACATGAGTTTGAGTAATCCTGCATTATTATGGTAGTCTGTCTACATCTCCCAAGCTCAGAATGTTCTGTTCCACCTTGAGTCGTGACGTAGTTTTCAAGGATTTGTGTGTTAAACGTGTGTGAATGAAACAAAACACAGCTCTGGGTTTGTTTTGATGAAGAAAGAACATTAGACTTAGACAAACTTTATTGATCCACAGGGGGATTTACTTGGACGCAGTAGCTCACACATCACAGTATATTATAATAACAAACTGAAAAAATATAAATGTATATGTACAAGTAAAACATAGACATAAGTGCAACGTAGACATAAGTAATAGGATATCCAAATCTTTCTGTTTAATATTATCACGATATGCATCTCATGGTACGATATTTATTGCGATATTTTTGAGTGGCAAATATAATTGTAGATAAGAGACTGTGATAGAAATTTAGATTGTGGAAAGATTTCTCTCATTCTGTCTTTGTGTAAATGAATGTGATTTCTACCTGAGACCAGACCCCCACAGGAAAATATTGATTATGAT